GTAAAGATCTATTTATACAGTCAACTATAGATATAACAGAATTTTTAAATTATAGTCCATTATGTCTTATAGTTTACTGTAATATAATCTAACAAAAACATAAATCAATAATAACTGTTTTTAAAAGCCATGCTTGAAAGAATTTTTTGATCACTATTGCATGGCAAGACATTATTTTTTTACGATAAAAAAGTGTGATGAGAATAGTTGTTCAATTTGCCTACCACCCCGATGCCCATGTGAAATATTTACTCAACTATACAACCTTTCTGATCCTGTTCCTAGAGAAGACTCATATTATAAATCTTTTGGAGAACTTTATGGTACTGATACAACAGAAAAGTACAGACCTTTACGCGAAAAACAATTCCTAGAACAAAATATGCTCAAACAAGAGGAAGGGGCAAAGGAAAAGTGAACCACACAATGCCCTTCTATCTCTCTGCACTACGTGCCAGAAATGTTGAAATTACTATTAGTTACGCAAAATATGAAAAACCAAGACTATTATTTAGTGCAAAAAAATTACCAGAAAAGAATCGTTAAATATTTCGTCGATTTCTCGATACAATCCTATACACCTGCGGAACTGCCTTTCAAAATACCTGCAAGTTATCACTTACTATGCCACCTAGACAACATTATGAATCAGGTAAAATTCCTGAATATGATAACTATAGTTACGATGATGATTCTGTTTCTGGTCCCAGCAATTTTAACCAAGAACATAATATCAGTAACATTAAGGGCGATGAAAGTAATGATGATATATGAAATAATAAAAGTGGTGATGAAAGTGTACAAAGTGATGAAAACGATCAAGAAAATGAAATTAATAAAATGGACAATACTTGTTCTAAAGAACCTGATAACAAAAATACAAAAGATGCAGTTAATAACCCTATCTGAGAAATTTTTAAATACATTTTTATCAACGACTCTTGAACCTGTGACTCTCCAATTGAAAAACTATATTATTCAGCATCAATCTATCCAAATATTTGTTACCTATGTAGTAGCCTTGATATCAATCAGCCTGTTCCTCAAGATACCAGATATACCCCTCGTTCTAATAAAAAACGATCTAAATGCGAAAACTGTGTTAGTTCGAATAGTTCAGCTAAATGACAGAATTTATTTGTCAAAAGTAAAAAGACTAAAAAACGTTCACAGCAAGTTCTCGAGCAGTAAAAAAAATTGATGTGCGTATGTGCACCTCGCACATAATTTTTCACGTACACGATTTGTTGGTCAAAGACATGTGCACTTTGTATACTAAATTTCAAATTTTTGACACTGCTCTAGAGAATAGTGATTTGATGAAAAATTTTTTTTTCTCTATAGTTAAAAAATAGTGTTGATTCATTTATTAGCAGAATAATAAAATGATTTATTAATACTATCTATTTCTTCGAATGAATGGATAGAAAATTGCTATAAAAGCACAAAATAATGTTATTTTTAAAATAGCATACGTATTTCGAATTAGCGTCTGAATTAACACGTAACTAGTAATTATATGTATACTCATCAATAACTCAAATTCACCTTTATTTCAAAATAACACACATGGTCATATCTGAAATAATGCGCATGTCAATTAAATAACACAAGTAGGAGTTATTTCATGTCTATACAGTATCAATTTTTCTTTTTAATTCGTAAAAGCTTAATATACAAAAATGCGACCTGTACAACATAATAAGTTAGTATTAGAGTAACTGCTTACTTGATTCAGATAGTGATAGTTAAGAGTAGCGAACATGGTGTGTCCCTTGTAATAGATCATAAAATTCCATGTAGTTTAAACTAATTACTGAAATAAAATCTAGAACGAATTAGTAAACCTAAAGAGACTGGTAAAAGAGAGCGAAGTAGTTAGATCAAAGTTGTATTGTATATGCAAGGACATATGTACGAACTAGGGTGTTCATGAAGATAGGAATTTTAAGTAATTAACCAATAAAATTTTAAAAAAAAACAACGAGTCAGGTGATTAAAGTCACGGAAACAACCTGGTTTATTCATTTAACTATCTTTTGCATACTGATAAATATGATTGGTTAATACTATGCTGCACCTCTAAAATTTAAATTTTTCTACTCAAGTTTTATAACCCGGCTGGGTCATGAGAAACAAAAAAATTTTTTTATATAGCCTAATATAAAATTAAATACTGCTATAATATAATCCTTATTTTTAAATATTATTAAAAAAAAATTTATTTAAATATGTTAAAATTTAAAAAAAGTAGATCATAACCATATTTATAATAATTTTCTAGACAAATTTGCTTAGAAAAGTCTACAGTTTAAGGGATAGCCTTTTTTACTATATTTTTTTACAAGTATTTTAGTCTTCTGGTGCTGTTTCTCCAAATAAATATTATCTCAATTTGTAATATTTTTGATATAACAATATATTTACAATCGGAGATGATTTTATAAGCAAATTGTTAGAAAATCAAGACAAAAGAAATTTACTAATAAATAAATACATATATTGAATATATAATTACTAATTTACGATTATATTTCATATGCATCAGAAATAAAATTTGAGTTAAATACGATTGGCTTGAGATCGTGCTTAAGCCACAATAGGTACTGATTTATACAATGCAAAATTACTTGGGCCTATATTTGTAATATTTTCAAAAATTAGGCCTTTATAAATAAATATTTTTAAGTTGGGCCCTTATTCATAATTATTTTCAAATTTGGGTCCCAATATGTAAATTCTCCTTAAAATTATACTGTTTATATTTGAATTCTTACTATGTTAATATTACTGTAAAACTAAAACAATATTAATATCAAATTTAAATTATTAGGAACGTGACAAAAATTAGGTGATTTTTTAGAGAGGGAGGGGGTAAAAAAAGTTAAAATTATATATAAGAACCTGATTTTTTTTATATTAAGAAAGAAGAAGGGGAGTAAGCCTCTAATAAAAAATAATCAGATGATAAATGACACTGTTCTTATTATTTTATTATCTGTTATAATGCTAATTTAGTATTATTTAAAGTTAATATTATCTCAATATAGAGAATGTTAATTTCAATGATCCTTCATTAAAATATTTAATATTATATTAATGTCAGATATAACTTCCTGATATTAAACTATTATTAAATAGTGATATTTATTTAGTCTAATTTAGAGTTAGCATTGCTATGAATTAGATATTATAGGAATTATATAACAACTACTATATTTGATATATATTGATATATAGATAGGTAAATATTGTGATAATATTCAAATATCTTTTAATTTTTATTATAATTTTTAATAAATTCATAAAGTTTATTCAATAATTGTTTTACTATATTTGATAATTATATATATAAAGATAGAAATTAATTAAATTAATATCAAATATTATATTAATTTAATTATTGTGACAAAAAAAATTTTTTCTAATAATCCTTTGGACAACATATCAACAAACTGAACTACAGAAAAATGATATAGGAGGTCTTAAGATATATACTGAGAAGTAGGCGTAATTTAGGTATTTTTTTTGGGATCAAGCTTCTTGTACAATAAACTCCTCAAGATATTTAATATCCAAACCAGAAAGTTTATTCTGGAAACTAAACTTATCTTTAAACAGGTTGCTATTAACGAAGCTTAAAAGATATGAAATATTGAGAAGCAGGTATAACTTAAGTAGTTTTTCTTGGAGTCAAGCTTTTTTCTTTGATGATAGACTCCTAGGATATTTAGCATCCAAACTAGAAGGTTTATTCTAGAAGCAAATAGTAGAATAGCCCTTACTAAGATAGTAAATTTTGTAGAACTGACTATATAACTATAAAATTTACAGAAAAACCTTATATACTTTCATTGGCCCTCTACTTTTTTTTTAGAAAAAATTTTGTAAAAAGTAAATGATTTAGCTTATTCTTTCCAAAAGATCAACACATTGTTTATTTTTCAAATTAGGCAGTATTGTTTACTTTTTTATCTTTCACAACAAATATATGAATATATAGAATATGGATATGAGAATTATATATCTCAAATGTAGTGATTCAAAAAAATGATACTTTGAGCCTAATAGTGCAATTTTCTGACCTCTCTATAGTGCCAACATTGAAGAAGCTTTTTTTTTATTTTTTTAGATTTTAAGTTTAAATATACTATGTATATAAATTAATATAGAAAATAGTTTAGATAATAGTATGTAATTTTTAAAGAGCCTAACATAGACTTATAATTGTAACTATTTAGTATAGATGAAAAATCCCATATTTAGTTTAGTTTTTCTTGTCTTACCCTTATTATCTTCTTTTCTTTTATTTGTTTTTTTACATATTCCCCTATACCTCTGTGTTTGTTTTATAAAATTTTTCTTTTTCTTTTATTTCTCTACAAGAAAATATTATCAGATTGGTAATATTCTATTGTAGGATGGTAGTTGAATAAGCTTCTAGTAAGGTATTATCTTAATTGATTGTACTTCTCTGGTGCAGTATAGTTATCTGTAGGCAGTGTTGTACATGAGACAGTTAGAACATGAGTTGAGACATTTTGGAATATTTTAGAACAATTTTATAAATTAAAATTACTCAAAATTTTATTAAGATATTTTACTTTAATTTTTTCAAAAATATATTTAGCATCTAAAAAAATATATAATTATATATTTTTTAAATTAACTTATTGATTTTTAAAACTTGAAACTTAGTTGGGACATCTTGGAATATTAGGATATTAGAATATTAGGACATAACAAAAAAGCTTGAGACAGTAAAAATATACAACACTGCTTGTAGGTATATATAGAAAATCAGTTAGATTACACAAAATAACTGCAAGATGTTAAACCTGTAGTTTTAATATTCGATTTTTTTTATAGAGATATGACTTGATTAAATAAAGATATTAGTGTGATCCACCTAAGTGAAGCAAAAAAAAAAATACAAAATTATTATTATAAATTAGCTAATTCTAACGTTTGTTTGTCTGTTCAGAATAAAATGAATCTGATTAGTTCATTTTAGTAATATGATCAATATAATCTATATGGTCTATATATGTAGATAACTGTACTATCATATATACTACATATAATACTTATATAGTTTGGTGCTACATCACATGATATAATATACTTTCTCTATACAATAACTTATTATTATAAAATATATACTTTAAAAGATAGCAATTGTTTTTAATTTATATACTAGATATACAAAAACTTACATACAAAGTATATATAATTTGGATACGTATCATTTCATCAACAATCACTTCACCAACATCTTAGTTCATTGACAATCACTTCACTGACAAGTTTATTTCATCAACAATTAATTTACTGACAAGTTTATATCACTAACAAGTTTTTTATAAATTATACCAACTTTAACTCTAATTCTTAATAACAATGACCAGAATTACTTTGTCTGTGAAATGAGCTATTGGTGAATTAATTGTAGATGAAATGAACTTGTCAGTGAATTAATTGTCAGTGAACTAAAATGTTGGTAAAGTAATTGTCAGTGAAATGAGTACCACCTATATAATTTAGAAAATATTAAAAAAAGAATTTAATAGTTGTATATATGTAATTGATTCATATTTACAAAGCAGGAGGTTGTTTAAAACTATGATTTTTTTTGTATAATTAACCAACTGGAATTGCAAAATTTTGTTTACATAAATCAGCCTGAAGAATATTTTTAAAGCAAACAATGCTACTTGAATTATATAACTAGCTATAAACTCACTCTTAAAATATTGAAACTATTATATTTAAACAAAACTATCTTATAATTTTTGATCAAACAATAATATCTAAGTATATAGAAAACAGGTTATTAAGGAGTGATCCATGTAGCTTCAAAGAGAATCAATTACTGTATATCTTCTAAAATAAGCTACTTTTTTGTTAAG